GTCTGACCTCACCACCTACCACTGTCTTCCTTGCCTACTGGCCTTCAGGCATGTGGGGTCCCCTGCAGATCCTTGGACGAGTCAAGTAGGCTCCCAGCTTAGGGCTTTCACCCTTCTGTTTACTCTGCTTAGAAAGATTTCTCCCCTCTTAAGTTTTTCTTCCTTATTTCACTCTGCCCTCTGTTCAAGTGTCATATTCTTGGATCTTTCCTAACCTCCCTACCCTACTTTATTCTTTTTCCATATACAAATAATTGTTTCAAAAAGGTTGTTTTTTGTTTTTTCCTGTGAAGGGGAGCAGTGAAATGGGTGGTAACTATGGAGGTTGGACACATGGGGTCATGGTGAGGTAGAGCAAGGACATGGGACAAGAACCATGATGAATTTTTCCTGCCTATGATGAAAAGTGTCGAGACACAAATAGCACTGTAAGAACAGGAGGGACTCCATCTTAAGGCTAAGATTCCATTTTAAAAACTAGGGAGTTAACATATTTTATGGCAATCAGCCAATAACATACTCTTTTTTAAGGCAGGGCAAATAGTCCTAAATGACTTGTCCCCACTGGTTGAGGGTAACTACTATCTTGGAGAAGAACAGGATCAAGAAATTCCTTGTGTTAAGTTTATTTTACAGAATATCTAGAGGACTGACTATGGATAATGACATAATGTCTCTCACTGGAGATAGACATCATGAGATGACATGTCAAGCCTATACCCCTCCCTCACCCCCTGCCCTTTGCCCCTTTCTTGAAATCCTTAAAAGACAGAATCCTAAGCTTTTAAGAGCGCCTTTCTCTTAAAGGAGTTTGCTCACACTCCCCTTTCTTCGAGTGTGTACTTTGCCTTAAATAAAGCTTCTTGCTGCTCAAACTAACTGTGTTTTGTCTCTGCGGTCTTCCAAGTCTCTTGGGAGATTAATAAGAGATCCCTTTTCCCAGCGGTAAATGTTCTTTGTTACTTCACTATTTCATTCAGTTTTCTAGACTTAAGCACAAGTGTTCACCCTTTCTGTCCTACTTCAGACAAGTAGGGAAGGGCTACTAAGATCATGCTCTTTAGTAGCCTGCCTGAAAATCTTCTTTCTTTGCTTTAGAAAGTTCTCAGAACATAATCTCACTCAATCCAGTGCTCTGCAGCTCCCCCAAGTTCTGGGATGGTAGGGGCTTAGTTCCCACACATGCAGATTCAAGCAGACACTAGATGCCCGGTGACCCTGGCTGCAGGAGTTGGCAAAGGATCTGCCCTATGTCGAGCAGGAGTTCAGTGAGCTTCTCTTTCCTCTCTCTGCTCTTCCTTGCTCTCTGCTGCCTGCATGGCTGCTGCCATCTGCTGCTACTCTTGCTTTAATGAATTCTTTCCTTACCTACACTCGTCTGACCTGTTAGAGAATTCTTTCTTGATCAGAGTCAAGAATCCTCCCTGTCCAGGCTGAGGTTTCACCTACTGCGCAAGGAGAGACCTCCCAGATGCAGTTGCCCAAAACAGTAGAAGGCTTTTTAAAAATAGGAGTACTACAATATGTTTGTATGATGATGGGCACCATCAGGTAGAGAACAAGAAACTGATGATGCTGGAGAAGAAGGCTAATTTTAGGAGTAAAGTTATTGAAGAGTGAGAAGGTGAGAATAGATGAGCATCCATATACAGGTGGAGAAATTGACCTTTATCAAAATGGGAGTAAAGATAGGGCATATGGCACCTTGGTGGTTGAGAGGGAAACAGGAGGGACTTTGGTCTAGTTGATTCTACTTTCTAAAGTGGAAAGCAGGTTGTGAGCTAATGGCAAGAAGTAGTTATACTAGAGGCTTGAGAAAAGAAGAATAAGTATGAAATAGTCACTGAAGACTAGGAAAACAAATTCATCAGAGATGCAAAGGGCTGCTGGGCTGCTTTGGGGACACAGGTTTGTAGTCTTGACTTTAAAGTGAAATGACTTGTAATTACTGTGTTTTCTCTAGTGATGCTTTGCTGCTTAATGAGGGTACAAAATACGTGAACAGCTAGGTTTAACAAAGGAGGGCCTTGCCAAGTCAGTATGTTTTTTTGAACTTCATCTTGAGGGTCCTGGAGAGCTACTAAAGGTTTGAGCAGAGAAGCCTGGGGGTATCAGGAAGGTTGTTCTAGCTCAGTGTGGTACATGAGGGTGTGAGAGAGGCTTATTGTAGTGGTAAAAGTAGTTTAATGTGATAAGACCCTTGATCAGACACCTGTGTAGATCTGTTTATAGTGTGCATAGATGCCGGAAACATAGGGGGTCTTTTCTACCATTTTATGAGTACTTAATATAGATAGCAGGTTCTGGGCAAACAAGATAAATAAGGGTTTACTTTCCCAAAGTTCTATTAGATTTAGATGATTGGTAATTATTTTTAGGTATTTGTAATTTTTAGGTACTTTTAAGTACTAAATGACCTAAATGACACAGAAGAAGGAAGGAACAGTGAACTCTGGATAGGAATCAGGGAATCCTTCCCAGAGGAGGTGACATTTCAGATGAGCTTTGAAAAAGTAGGCCCTTATGGAAGGAAGATAACATGGAGGGAATATTAGGAGCCCAGTTAAAAGATGCAAGATGTGTGACCAGAACAAATGCTGCATGAGGAGAAATGGTGGGAGATGAGGCACTTCTTCCATTAACAAGGAACTAAATAAAACTAAGGACTCTTCATACTTTGTGACAAGGGTAAGGCATCTAGGCCCTTACCTGCAGCAAGAAAGTGTTTGAAAGAAAGTGAAGGTTTTTTAAAATGGTGATTTAAAAAAATATCTTGAAAAATATGTCGAGGTACGCTAGGAATTTGTACTATCATTTGCTCACTTAACAACAACAATGTAAATAAAATGCCTCATCCAGCCTTTTCCAGTACTCTCTTAGAAAATGCTATGGTAACTGTTAATCTTAAAAACAGACAGTTATTTTACCAGCAAAAATGGGTTTATTTGGGAACAGCAGAGAATTGCAATTGGGAACAAGCAAGTTTTGGCAAAATCATCAAAGTCCAGAGAACAAAGGAGAGGAGCTCTTTTCTAGAGGGAAGTGCCTGGTTGGGCGGGCTGTTTTAAGCAAAACGTCTATTGTTTTAAGCACAAAGTCTACTTTTACCACTACAATAAGCCTCTCACACACCCTCATGTACCACACTGAGCTAGAACAACCTTTCTGATACCCCAGGCTTCTCTGCTCTCCAGGACCCTCAAGATGAAGTCCAAAAAATCATACTGACTTGGCAAGACCCTCCTTTGTTAAACCTAGCTGTTCACGTATTTTGTACCCTCATTAAGCAGCAAAACATCACTGGAGAAAACACAGTAATTAAGTTATTTCACTTTAAAGTCAAGACTACAAACCTGTGTCCCCAAAGCAGCCCATCAGCCCTTTGCATCATGGCTTCCCATTGGCAGAGTTGGGATGGTCTGCCATTGGCTGGGTTGTTGCTGGAGGAAGCAGAAATCTTCCTTCCTCCTGCTGGGTAGTGAAGTGTAGCTGAAAGAGTATGGACTTGCCAGATGTTTGTCTCTTCTGTGATTGAGGAGTGAGGGTGTATGAGAGCTCCTCCTTCATGCCTCCCAACTGCTGTGTCAGTGATGTGTCCCTTTATTAATTCTCACATAACACTGACCTATCATAACAAGGCTCGAAGAAATCAATCATTCTTATCACTTGGCTTTAGTATATTATTTCAAGTTAAATGATTTTAAAGTTCCTCTTTATCCTAAAACATACTTCTAAAGTAAGCTGTAGTTTATATTTTATGAATGAGGAGTTTATGACCCTGGTTCATAGGTTGTTATTGTGTAGATAAATGACCTCAAGCATATAAAATGGTTAATACAGAGTTTGGCACCGCAGCCAGGAATAAATGTTCAGTTTCTTCATTAGTCCCAGCTTTCTTTCCCTCATATTTTCCACCCTTTGCTCTTTAAATCTTATTGTTTCCCAAACACCTATGTGCTAGACCCATCCTTGATTCTAAGGATGCCAGAATCAGCTGAGGCACACAGCCATGTAAAACCACCATGCAGGGAGAGTGTCAGTTCAGTGTGTGCCGCGTGGGTGTGCATTCAGAAGCTGAGAAGCTATATACCAAGCCTCTACCTTGCCCTTTGGAATGGGCTGCAGGGAGCAAATTGTGGTTGCTTGCCAGTTCAGAGAACGGGTGACTTCTCACAACCTTAAGAAACCAGCAACCCTTTCACCCAAGTGTGCTTTAGGTTGGCAGTATCCATACAGAGAAGCGGGAGATTTATTTATTCATTTAGTCAGCAAATAATCTTAGCTACCTGCTGCTAGTGCCAGGTGCTGAGTAAGAATATGAGTAGGAGCAGGGAAGCATGAGAGCATGGCTCACCTGGGCAGCGTCAGGTGGCTTGGAGCGGCTGGCGTTCAATAAACTCTCAGTTTTCCTTAAACATGCAAACCAACACCTGAGGGGGTTAAAAAGGAAGTACTAAAAGGGGAAGTTTTTGGGTTGGTGAGAATTTGTCACTTCTTTTCAGGGTTAGTCAGGATGGACTGATGTTTCTTTGGAAAGCCTGATTTGTTTCCTTCAGGGAATTGCCAGACTGACTAATCCCATTACCTTGGGGCAGTGGGTCCCAAACTTTGCCATTCCCTCAAATCACCCAGGGAGTTTAAAAAAACTTAGATGCCCAGGTGGCATCAGATACGGATGACAGCAAAATGTTTTGGGGGGGGGTGTGGGGTGGGAGCCCAGCGTCAGTATCTTTAAAGATCCTCCGATGATTATAATGGGCAGCAGAGTTCTGGAGTCACCGCCTTTAGGGCGCAGTCCGGTTTTCTTCAGTTAATACACACTTCTATTTTGAGCCCAAACATTCCTATAATTGTTCTTGTTAATTTTTTGGGTTGGGGGCGCTGTCAGCCGGAAGACGATGTGGTGTCACCCAATGAGGAGATCCCGCTTAGCTAAGCCCATTAGCGCGGCTGCCAGGGCTGCACGGGAGCGGGTTTCTGCTTTGTCATTCTGACTCTGGCCTTCTGCCCGCCCTGCTCGCGGGAGGGCGTGGCTTCCGTGGCCGCTGGGAGCCGGCAGCCCTTTCCCTGAGGCCTCAGTCCGAGGTGCACCGGAGCGCGAGGCGGTGGCGCGGCCCGGCGGCCGGCGGCCTGGAGCTCGCCTTCACGTAAGCGTGGGGGCGCAGGAGCCCCGGGCCGTGAGGCTGTGGGTCGCTGGGGTCGGAGCATCCGCCGGGCGGGTGCGCCGGGAGGCCCGGGAAAGCGGAGATGTTTTAAGGCGAGGGTGAGTGGGGTGAAGCTTTCCTGAGGCGGGTGAGCTGCTCGGCTGCTTTCATTGTGTCTCGCTCGGGTCAGTGAAAGCATAGCGTTTGGTAGGCGAGACCGGCCCCCTGTCGGCCGGTGGTTTCCATCCTCTTCCTCTTTGTAGAGGCGGTGTGCAGAGATACCTGAGAAAATGGGTGTGTGTTATTTCTTTTTGCACGAGTACTGAAATGTGGACAATGTGATGAGCAGATCGATAGATCCTCCACAGGCAGAGAATGTAATGAGTTAAGGATGCATTACAACTAATTTTCACACCATTTAATCCTTAGAAATCCTCAGAGGTAGACAGATCATATGTATCAAAATGTTTACAGTTGGGGAAACCAAGGCTCAGAATCCTGAGACTTGCCCCAGGCTATTAATGGGACACCCCCCCCCCCCAAGAGTGGAACCCAGGTTTATCTCAAGATTTCAGGCAGTACAGGGTAGCAGTTAAAAGCTTGCACTACACTGCTTGGGTTTGAATCCTGGCGCCGCTGTTGACTATCTGCTTGAACTTGGGCAGTTTAGCTTTGCAGTGCCTCAGTGGTCCTATCTGTGAAATGGACCTGATAGGACCTTTATCCAAAGGGTAGCTTTGAAGATGAAGTATTAATATGTGCAAAGCCCTGTAGATGTTAGCTGCTATTATTATCAAACAACTATGCTTCTGAGTGGTGTGGTTTTTGTCTCATGAATGGGCCTGATGGCAGTGTACTGCAGTCTATTTTTAATAATATCACTGACTCATTCTCCACCTGGGTTCACCCTTTGTAAAATTAGGCCATTAGCTAGCTCCCAGTGGGTCATGTGGCCTGCTGCTGTGTTGTTCCACGTTCTTAAATAAGAGCACCTTAAGTGGGCAGTGTTTCAAGTTTTGCTCCATGGTTTCAGATTAGAAACACTGGAAGTTGGATTTTGGCGTTCTACATAGATGCAAAGTTCAGAGGAAGATTCAACTGGGAGGTGTTTTACTAAAGCTGAGATAATTAGCCTTAAGCTTCCTTTTTTGAGGCTTTTCTGAATTCCGGGTAACCGGGTAAGTAGGGCGTCTAATTTAGCGAGACTTCCTGTGCTTTGAGTGTGCCCGGCGTAGCTAGCTCCGGCTTGGGGTTTCCAGCCCGCGAGCCGGCGTGCGGGCCCCGGGTCGGCGGTCCGCGGGCCTCGGTCCCGCAGCGCGCCGGCGGCACTGCGGACGGGCGGGGCGTGGAGCCCGAGCGCCCGGGGACGCGGAAGCCCCGCCCCGCCGCGCACTTCCCGCCGCGGCCGGGGGCCGCTGATCCGCTCCCTCTGCTTCTGTTCCAGAGGACGGGGGGGCCCTCGAGGGAGCGCGGTCCGAACTGACCTCGGAAACCGACGTCCCCGTTGTGTTGGTGAAGCGGAGGAACATAGGCGGCCATGGCTCGACCCTGAAGGTAGGTAGGAGACAGCGTTTCCTTCACCCGCCGAACGGCGAGTGACTCGTGGCCCCCACCGTGGTCGCAGCCCTCCTTTCCCGGCCAGGCTGGGTGCGAACGACCTCACACGGGGCTTGTGTCCGAAAGTGGCAGACCCACAGCTCACGTGTTAATGGAAGTTGGTGAGATGGTAAATTTCAGAACTGGGGAAACTTGGAAGAGAATGTGTAACTTTTCAGATTTTAAAATACATTTCTAAAAGTGTCCTTTTCATCCTATTTTCCCATCCTTTTTCCCGCCCATAAATCCAAATAACTTAAAATTTTTTAGCAGCATTGTAGGTGCCGAAAATGAGTTGTTTAGAGAAATACAGAGAAAAAGGGATGGGGAAATGCTTATCTGCTTTGGTCCCTATCATCCTCTGTAATTCTCTGGGAGGGAAGCCCAGAAACCCCGGGCTCAGGGGAGGGCAAACAGGGCACTCCTGGAGTGAGGTGAGTGCATTTCCCTTCAGGTGGCTCGCCCTCTTCTGGCCCAGAGTTAACAACTGGTGGAGGGAAAAGATGACGGTAAACATGGTGGCATACTCCCATGGGTCCTCCCCTAGGCCAGGCCTGTGGTACTGACAGGCTGCCTGCAGGCTGGGTGGGTGTTTAAGGGGATAGCAACACGGGATGCCCTCCACCGGGTGTGGTTGGGTACCAGGTTAGAAAACCTTACAATCCCTTCACCTGGACACATATTTAATTTTTGCTCATTATCCTTTTGTCTTTGTCTACTTGTATCTCAAATTTTTAAGAAATGGAACTCAAACTTGACAGTTGCCCTTTTAGAAGCAAATATGAGGGCTCAGTTAAATGTAAAAAACTATTTATATACGTACACCAATAGGAAGGATATTAATTTGCATTTTTCTTTACTATTTTAAAATAATCTTACTTACCTTTTTGAAGAATGAGTATAGGAAATGGAGATAGGCTTCAAAGACAAGCAGTTAATGGGAAGTAATTAAAGAAGACAGAAAGGCTTTTTAGCTTGGTTTTAAATATAACGTGTTACTCAGACCTTTCGTTTTGCAAGAATAGTGAGACCAAGGTCTATTAATATTCTTTCCTGTCTGATTGATCTAATTTCTTTGTGTCATAAATCTGCATTTAATATAACATTAAAAGTTATATAGGCATTTGACCTATATAAATTTTAATTTTGGTATCATTAATATACAATTACATGAGCAACATTGTGGTTATTAGATTCCCCCCATTATCAAGTCCCCACCGCATACCCCATTGTAGTCACTGTCTATCAGTGTAGTAAGATGGTATAGAGTCATTACTTGTCTTCCAGATGGACCTGTTTTTAACAGAAATAGGTATAAAAAGAATCACTTTTTATAAGCTCTGGACCCACTTTGTTGTCTGGCTGCTGCATCTCTGGAGGTCTCTACTGTGCACTAGGTGAAACCTTCAACCTGGACGCATGAGGGTTCTTGACTGATAGAGGAAGAATTCGCAAACAGGTCAGACCTAGTGTAGGTAAGGAAGGAATTGATTAAAGCAAGAGTAATAGGCAGCAGAGAGCAAGGAAGAACAGAGGGAGGAAAGGGAAGTTCCTAGGGCAAATCCCTTGCTAACTCCGGGGTCACCTAGCATCCAGTGTTCACCTGAATCTGTGCAATGTGGGAACTAAGTCCCTGCCATCCTAGGATTTGCGGGAGCCAAGAGCACTGAATGGAGTGAGATTATGTTCTCAGAACTTGCTCAAAACAAAGAATTTTGGGCAAGCTACTAAAGAGCATGATCTTACAGATGCAGTCCTGTCCGGGGAACTCAGTTGACAGGAAATTACAAGCCCAAATCAGATCTTAGTAGCCCTTCCCTACTAGTCCGAAGTAGAGAGAGTGACAACTTGTACTTAAGTCTAGACAATTGAGTGAAATAGTGAAGTTACAAAGAATCTGCACAGCATGGGAACTAAGCCCCTACCATCTGCAAGAGCGTAGAGACAAAATGCAGTAAGTTGGGTAGCAAGTAGGCTTTATTTAAGGCAAAGTACACACACAAAGGGGAGTGTGGGCAGCCTCAGGAGGCATGCTTAAAGCTTTGAGATTCAGGGTTTGGGATACTGTCTTCTGAGGATTTCAGTAATGGAGCAAAGGGTCAGGGGGTGTAGGCTTGATTTATGGTCTCATGATGTCTGTCTGGGTGAGAGACATCATCCATATAGTCAGTCCTCTAAATATTATGTAAGATAAACTTGACACAAGGAATTTATTGATCCTGTTCTTTTAATGGTTAACCTCAAGTGGAAACATACCCTTTAAGTCTGCTTGGCCTGCCTTAAGATACGGTTGGTCATTGGCTAGTACTATATGCTAGGAATCGTTTATCTCCTAACTCCCTGTTTTTTAAAATGGAATCTTAGCCTTAAGATGGTGTCCCTCCTGTTTTACTTACTATACTGTTTTATATCTTTCCGTTTCATCATAGGTAGGAAAAATTAATTGTGATGGTTGTCCAGTGTCTGTGCTCTACCTCAACTTTATTGATAGTTGTTTTCAATTGACAGTTGTTTCAAGCCAATTTCAGCCATTCAGTGAGATGCAATGTCATGAATGAAAAGCATACCACCAAATCATAATTAAATTTAAAAAATCATTTCACGCACCTCTTTACAGTAAACTTAACCACACTATCATCTGATTTATTTTTGGTGTTTAGTGAGTACTGAGAAATGGAAGAAGAGACACAATAAGGTGAGGGCTACTGGTTTGAAACGTTTGTGAGTAGCTAGCCAATTGTTGCCCACATTTGGGGTAGATGGTGGGTTCTGAAAATCTTTAGGAAATATGGGGTGTGAATGGAGAAAGGCATTTATATAGTGGAAAAATTTGAGTGCTTTACAGGATTACTGTTAGAATCCTGAAGTTCACACCTGTAAAGATTTCATACCTCAATTGCAACACATAATGGGGAGGGTACTCTAAAATGTCTGCTCTTCCATTTTCCTCTTAATATTGTTTCTTTTGTCATTCTTTGCCCTTAGTAAACAATAGAAGTAGCAACAAAATGTGCCTTGCCCTCCTGGTGTACTACAGAAGGCAAGGGGCGAGGACCCCGCTGGACTGATGCGCTTAGGTGATACCTATAGGATGGTTGAAGGCATTCAAGAAGGGTTTCAAGAAGTTGTAGTCTGCACGCCACCTGCATAGAATTCCCTGGAGTGCTTGTTAAGCTTGAATACCTGGGCTTTACCTGAGGTCTGGTTAAGTGAAGCCTCTGCAAGGCACTGGGATTTGCCTTTTTAAATTTATTTTAAGCAAGCACCCTCAGGTAATTCTTATGATAATTATCATGCTTGAGACTTACTTTAATATATTAGGTAGTTTGGCCAAGATCAACTGCTAAGTAATTAGAATTGGGGGAAATCCAACAAAGAACTACCTCTTTAATACCCAAAAAATGTTAGTTAGAAGGTAGCAAATGGTAACTCAACAGGCAAGTACTATTTTATACCTAAATAGAAAAATAAGAAAATACACTGTCTGTAGCCAGGGCTTGTGTCCATGTGTGAAATTGGAACTAGGGAGCTATTAAATTCAAAGAACTATGACTAGAGTTCCTATTTGCTCAGAGACATCTGGCTTTCATAAACATTTTAGTTCTTAAGGATAATATTGCAAGTATTCTTATAGGGAACTTTTCTTGCATATAAATAAGTCAGTGTCTCCATGATTCCAGAGTTTTGAAACCACTTGTGTAAGTGCCTGTGCTGAGAGGAAAAGCAAAGTGAATGAAAATTTGCTTATGGAAGGAAATACTGAGGTGCTGGATGTAGTTAAAACTTTAGTAATTTTGAGATAATGGTGTTGGGAGATAAAACTGGCAACATAGGGCTTAACTTCTTCAAGGTGATAATAAGAGAGATGACAGACACAAAGCAGGGCGTGAGTAAGTTCTGGAGATGATGTGGGAGGAGCTGAGGTGTGACCCTGTTGTAGTCAGGCTTGGGGGCCCCCTGTTCTAGCCTGGGAGAGGTGGGCGTGGGGGTAGACACTGAAACAAAGGCAGGTCCTAACTTTCCTGCCTAACTTGTAAAGTTACCAGAAGCCAGCCTCTTAACTGAAAAGTCATCAGAAAGTGAGTGTAATTTAATAACTCTTCAGCCATCCCTTTTCTTTCTTAATATGCTACCAGAGCTGATAGAAAACTTGGATTTCTTTGGATTCTTTTGTTAGATAATCCCTTAATGGGAAGATGAGTAAGTCCCTCTGCTTTAGGCTTGTTAAGGTTGAGGCCTGAGGAGAATTAAAGGACTGCTTTGAAGATGGGGAAGTGAACAAGCTCTGGTTTATCTAAGGTGTAAGGAGTGAGGACTAGCAAGCTTTAAAAGGCATAGATGTTAGAATTGCAGATAAATTTATCTGGTGCTGACTAGATAGTAAACTTTTTACTACTTGTGAACCCGAGTTGCGACCCAGTGCATCCTACCACTTTAACCAAGTGACAGCACAACCTCTCTTTTGCCACGTATCTGGAGGTGCAGGCTTCGGATTTCCCATTACCAGGCCTTTCTGCTCACTTGGCAGGGCCTGTTTCCCACATTATGTGCCTAGGGCTTCAGATGCGCATTGCGTCTTGCCTGAGCCATTCAGCAATCTCTAACTGGCCTCTCACTTTGGATCTCCCTCCCTTTCCAGTCCAACCTGCCAGAGTTTGCTGCTTTGCTGCCTCCAAGTCAGCCCCCAGGATAAAGGGCATATTCCTTAGCTTGGTAGTCTTTGTTCTCAGGGTCTGACCCCAAACTGCTATTATGGTTATCTCCAGATCTGCTTCTTACCTATCTACTGGAAGCTCTGGGAATACTGTTGCAGCGATTGTCTGTAAAATTTCCCTCCATTCTATTCTTTATTTTAGTTCTGGAGTACTCTTCTGCTCAACTGCTTACCTGTTTTAGAGTACATGACCAGAGCTGGCCATTCTTTCCCTCGGTGCTACAGCAGTACTCCTACAAATCCT